AATGTATCCATGAGAAGCCCAGTCTTGAGACCTATTTTATATAATACGGATTTTAACAATATTTTTATTGAATGGATGGTATCGAGGGGTATGCTATCTATTTGAAAATCTTTATGAGGGTTATAACGATGATCACATTGTTGTAGGGGTTGCTCTTAGGATGTAGGTCTTCATCAATAAATATGATGAGTGCATGATACACAACTTTTCACAAGGAGAAGGCAATCACATATGGCTTGCCTGAGCAAAGTCTATTTAGACTCACTTGTTGGGAGATCTCAGCTCCATCTCCTCTTAACATGTCACAGATGAGTCCCAAGATGTGGATGCCATGTGCCTAGGCTGGTTCACCTTACTCTTCTATTGCCGAAGCTTTTCCCATAACATAATCTAATGCTATGAGTGCAAATAAATCCTTCAACATTTTGGTTGGAATCAATTCTTCAATATGGGTCTAAAGGTGTTGAAATTTCTTGATTTTGTTCTCATTTTCATGATGGCAGGCATAATCATTCTACACCTCACGAATGTATCTACTGGCCATCATGGGAGTACATTTTTCTGATAGTAGTTTTTATTTTGGATGGCTTCCTTAATTTTCATCATTGAAAGTCCTTAACAGAGTCATTTAAGGGATGTGATGAGTTGGTGGTGGTGGTCTTTTTAAATAGTGATTCACTTGTCACCCTTAATATAATGTTTTCCCTTAGTATTTTCATGTTGTCCTTTCTGAGTCTGCGTCTCTTGGTAAGATCATGAGTGGTCATCTTCATATCAAGGATTTATTGATGATCGAGACGAGCTGCTGGATTTTTAATCACCGTCATGAGAACATCTTTTTAGTGAATAAGGTTGATCTTGTTCAGATGTCTAAGAAACTATAAGTAGGTTGTACTGTTTGGTTGAATTGTCGTAATTAGTTAAGTTGCAGTAGCTTCGTCAGTTTCTTCAGTCACTATAACTCTAAGGTGTATAGAAACAAATCTTCTCTCGAGCCCTAGGCGGGGGTTACATGTGTGACTATGAGCTCTAAATCATGTACCTCTCACATCTCCTTCAAACATCAAATTATAAACTTCTGTAATGTTTCTCCTTACTCTTGGCATTACTGTAACAGTGCTTGAGAATTTCTTCGAGGCTTCTGCGCCCTAGAAAATTATGTCATAAAAATCCTTTAATTTTTGGGAATGAAGTGATACTCTAGGTGGTAGGCTATTGAACCATTGAATTGTAGATACCTTTATTATTACAAAGAAGATACACCATTTCAATGTGTCGTTCACCTTTAGTAAGCACCCTGTAGACCGAAAGGAGCTGATGTGATCAGACGAATCAGTCTTGCTTCAATATGATCTTAGAGTAGGGATCATGAATCATTAAGTTGCTTCAACTTCAGTGATTCACCGAGATAAAGTATTATCAGGGGATGGTCATCATGTGGTTTTTGAACCTTTATTTGGCTCGGTCTTGATGTGCATATCTACCACTATCTTAGTGATATGCCTCATCTCCCACAATTGGGTGTTGAACCCAAATTTATCCTTAGTTCGTGCCCAAAGATTAGAAAGTGCATAAGAAAAAGAAAGAACTGTGAGAGAAAAGATAGAAAAGCCTCGAGAATTTAACGGACTTTTTAATAGAAGAAAAAAATTCAAGAGAGAGAGTCACCCTTCCTGTTGCACTATTTTCCATATTTATAAAGGTTGACATTTCTTAAAAAAGACATGTATATTACTTCAGTAAGAATCCCACCAAAAGTTTTGGCTAGGACCTCACAATTTTAATTCAAAGGCTCCCATCTAATGGAATGACATATTAAGGATGTGATAATTGTAGAACACAGAGCTTCCCTCTATTATTACCACAAACATCCTTTTGGGCGCTCAAGTTGTTAGCTGCTTATTTCAAATCACATGATCATTGAACTCTCGGTGTTGACCACTCGACACCACGTGTAGTCTCCTGGCCAAAGACTTTTTCTAGACCTCATCGGTTGGTCTGACATGTGTAACACGAGATACTTGCTTCCTGATTTTAGTTGTGATCACGAGCCTCATGTTCGCTGGGCTTAAGATCGGTCACCCTTGGGATGTCAGTTCCTGATTGAGCTTCCCGCGATACATTTCTGTTCATTAATGCTAGATGATCATTCTTAAACATTTGCTCATGACGACTCTTAGTCACCCATGGATTGTCAGTACTAATTTCATCACAATCATTGGCTTCATGATTGCCTGTGAAATTTACTTTTTTTTTTCCTTTGCACATGCCTATCACACAATTCATTTATATTTAGATTTATAATATTTAAAGTTTAATATTTGTATTTATGATATTTAGTATCATAAATGATGAATATAAAGAGTTATTTTATTTTTTTAAAAAAATTGTCATAATAATATTATTAAGAATTGAGTGAACGGGATCCATATTTTTCTCCTCCACGCCGAGTCACCGACACGGACGCGGAGTACGTGTGGGGGCGCAGACGAGAAAAAACTCATTGACCTCTGCGTCGTGGGCGGGCCCCACTACCAACCCCCGCGCAAAACATGTGGACTCGGCACAGTCGCACCACGGGGTGCGCAGCTCCGACGTGGGCCCTACTATCTCATCTTTCTTATTTTTCCCCGCGGATCAACTGTATCCGCTCAACACGAAGCAGCGTTATGCCATACTGGAACCCATTCTAATGAAAATACCGGGTCCCACAAAGACCGGCAGGGCCGTCAAGAAGCTATGGGCCCACGCGGGCTCATCAATTGGGGCGCTTGCTCGCACCCGTGCTGTCCCCCGCTTCACGACACGGATCGGATGCCTGCCACGTGGGATCTGGATAGTTGCAGACTGCTGCAACTGCCACTACCATTCATAGCTTGACACGTAGCCCTCCATACATTTTTAAAACAAAATGTATTTTAAATCTTATTACCCGTTGCATTTGATTAGTATTTTTTTGCTATTTCCAAAAACGGAAAATAATATTTAAATTATAAATTAAGGACACAAAAGCATCAGCATAATCTTCAAGATAAAAATTCAATTATTCATCCGCTAATAATTATACCAAATTTTAAATAAAATAAAACAAAATAATTAAAATTAATTTAAAAGCATGATGCATAATCGTTTTCATATAATAAATAAAATAAAACATATAAATCAATTTCATATAAAAATAACCCGAAATCATTAAATTTCACACCAGTTTTAAATTCACTTTCGTCAAAACCTTTACACTTGTGTATGACTTTCATACTCCTAACAAAATATATAATTTTATGTCTGAAAAATAATGAAATATTAAAAATTCAAACATAATTTTACTGCTTTTAACACAAAATTAATGCGCTATCTTATAAACATTTTCATTCTTCTGTGTCTGTTGAAGAAGCTTCGATTCGTTTGATAAGCAAATGAGATGAACTCGAACAAAATTTTTTCTTTCAGTTTATAAATAAGTCAAACACGAACAGTCATTTGTTCGATCGTGTTCAAATCATTATTGTCCGAAATACAAAATAAAATTTTCATTAAAAATAATTATATACTCTAAAAAACTGTAAATTATATGGGCCCACGCGGGCTCATCAATTGGGGCGCTTGCTCGCACCCGTGCTGTCCCCCGCTTCACGACACGGATCGGATGCCTGCCACGTGGGATCTGGATAGTTGCAGACTGCTGCAACTGCCACTACCATTCATAGCTTGACACGTAGCCCTCCATACATTTTTAAAACAAAATGTATTTTAAATCTTATTACCCGTTGCATTTGATTAGTATTTTTTTGCTATTTCCAAAAACGGAAAATAATATTTAAATTATAAATTAAGGACACAAAATCATCAGCATAATCTTCAAGATAAAAATTCAATTATTCATCCACTAATAATTATACCAAATTTTAAATAAAATAAAACAAAATAATTAAAATTAATTTAAAAGCATGAGTTAATTTAAAAGCATGTTGCATAATCGTTTTCATATAATAAATAAAATAAAACATATAAATCAATTTCATATAAAAATAACCCGAAATCATTAAATTTCACACCAGTTTTAAATTCACTTTCGTCAAAACCTTTACACTTGTGTATGACTTTCATACTCCTAACAAAATATATAATTTTATGTCTGAAAAATAATGAAATATTAAAAATTCAAACATAATTTTACTGCTTTTAACACAAAATTAATGCGCTATCTTATAAACATTTTCATTCTTTTGTGTCTGTTGAAGAAGCTTCGATTCGTTTGATAAGCAAATGAGATGAACTCGAATAAAATTTTTTCTTTCAGTTTATAAATAAGCCAAATACGAACAGTCATTTGTTCGATCGTGTTCAAATCATTATTGTCCGAAATACAAAATAAATTTTTCATTAAAAATAATTATATACTCTAAAAAATTGTAAATTATCTAAAATATAATATGATCTTCAGCTTTACTTCTTCATTTATAGTAAAGCTTATAATTTCATATTTATCTTCAGATTCTCCTCTTTGCTTAATTTTTTTAATATTTCTTTTTGATTTATTTAGTTTCTTTGAGTGAAAACTCGCTTTTGTGTTTTTTGAGAGTGAAATCTCGCATATTTCCTCTAAATTTGATTTTTTTTGTGGGTGAGATATGATATTATGTTTTTTTAGATGTATTTTAGCTATTGTGCATTTGTGCTAAGATTCATACAGGTTAAAACATTAATTTCATTTAGTGTTAAATTTTTGAAGAAGTTTAAGCTTTTGAAAGATTTCAAACAATTCGAACAATACAAATAAATTTGTAAGATTTTGAACAATTTAAATAATTTAAAACTATTTCAAACATATTTTAAACTAATCGAATGGAACATAAATAATAATTTAATAATTTCAATTCGGCACTTATTTCAAACACATTTATTTTCGAATGAACTCAATATGAACATAAACTGTATTCACTTGTATTTGGTGCGTTCGCACGTTGATAATCTTAATTCAACTATTTTTGAAGCAAAGGGGTTGGGAGAAGCGTTAAAAGAAGCGCTAAGCCGGCTCCGGGGAGCGGGTCGAAGAACGGGTGGGGGGGCTAATGATGGCAGGCGCCGCTCGTCAGTCCGTACCGCAGTGAAGGTGTGACCGAGTAGGGCTGATGTCATGACCTGCGCACTACTCCTCCTGCGACACGTCAAATCAGGCGGCGGCTCTCCCCCTTCCCCCCCCGCTCACATAAGAAAATAAACAGAGACAATAAGAAAGCTCCTACCTTTCCCTTCCCTTTCGCAATGGCTTCGCGGGGAGGCGAGGTCCATTTTCGAGGGGTGAGAAAGCGGCCATGGGGACGCTATGCGGCGGAGATTCGCGACCCGTGGAAGAGAACGCGGGGGTGGTTGGGGGCTTTGGGGACTTTCGATACGCCGGAAGAAGCCGCCGCCGCTTACGATCAGGCGGCGCGCGCGCTGCGCGGGCCGAAGGCGAAGACTAACTTCCCTTCTCCTCCTCCTCCGCCGCCGCCGCCGCCTATTCGTCTTCAGCTTGATCTAAACCAACTGCCGTGTCACCTCCGGTCACACTACGCGCTTGCTTCTCCGCCACCTCCGCCACCTCCGCCGGCGCCCCGCCGGCCACCGCGCTGCTTCTCGGAAGCTTTCTGCAATGCGAACCTTCGCCGGTTGGGGAACCGCAGCGGGGTCTTCCCTTCGATCTCAACGAGCCTCCGCCACCTCTGCCGCCGCACCCTGCGGCGTCGCTTCGATTTTGTTGACTTATCTCTTTAATTTTCTGCTGTTTTTGGTTGGTCTGGTGAGCTGATGGCTGTATATACTTATGAAGTGAAAAAAAAAGAAGTTTTTTTTTTTGTTTGAGAATGTTAGCGATCATACAGACAGTGCAGCTGTGTTTTGCTTAATTGATATGATTGTGGTTTTTTTAGGATTAATGGTGTTGTTTCAAGCTCTCGTGTCTCTAGAAATTGCTATCGGCTCTCTGGCTGATGAGCATAACAGCAGTCTGCAGAGCTGGACGAGGGAACTTCATGGCTAAAGTCTATTTATGGCAAAGAGTTGTAATTGTTTCTGATTAATAGTATTATGCAAATCCACAACACCAATAAGGAGGGTTTTCAGATCTATGGTTCTTCTTTCTATTTCTATGTTTCTTTACACAGTGGCATTATAATTGATATTAGTTTAATGGTTTTTATCTGGATAATTGTTTTTTATAAAATATTTTTTCCAAGGCTTAAATTTTTGTTGGCATTGGTCATTTAGATCATGAGAGGAGTTAATCTTTTTTTTTTTGGCAATTTAATTTAGATCATGAGAGGAGTTAATCTTTTTTTTTTTTTGGCAATTTAGGGTTTTTTTGGGGCAGCTGAAGACAGCTTATCCTGATAATCTGCTGATGGTCAGTTGATTCGGATAAGTTGACTGACTGTTTGGTTTGTGTGTTTAGAAAATAGCTGATTCTAAATAAATGATTATTTCGCCTCTGTTCTGGATAAGTTGTTTAACTGTTTGATATGTGTGTTTGGAAAACAGCTTATCTGTAACTTTTTGTAGATAATTTTTTTAAAAAGAAGTTTAAATTATCTGTAATGTAAATTGTAATCAATAATGTACATTTTACTCTAATTTTTAAATAATTTAATTTAAATTTAAGAAGAAAGTAAACTCAAATAGAAGAAAATGTATTTACATATCTACGACATATTTTAAACTTAGAAATTCTATTATTTTTGTTTTAGAATTTCATATAATACTAAAATCTATGGGCTTTGTTGTGAGAGCCAGAGTATTTAATATCTTACACTAAAGTCTTCTGGAAATTAACTGAAGATCATAATAAAGCAAAAAGAGAAGCTGAATTAGGAATTTTTTGGCAACATATGGAGAGCTAACATGAGAAAAAAAAAATTAATTGGTTTAAAAAAATTATCCCCTAATCACACACACACAAATAAAGAGAGTGAGAGAAAGAGAGATATACAGAGAGATTCATGGAAAGAAAACCCTAGAA